AGCATTAAAGACACAAATCCAAGATACTGCAAAGCTAGAGTTCCACCTTATGCAATGAGGAATAAAATTGAAAATGAGCTAAGTAGATTGGAATCTAAAGGCATCATAAAGAAGGTAGACTATTCCGATTGGGCAACGCCCATTGTGCCAGTGTTAAAGAAGGATGGTTCTATAAGAATTTGTGGAGACTACAAAGCTACACTGAATAAGCAAATAGAGCTAAATAGGTACCCTATTCCTAACATTTCAACTAGAACTGCATCCAGATTCAAAAGTCTATACGACAATAAACACACATAAAGGACTCTACCAATATGAAAGACTATGTTTTGGCATATCATCTAGCCCTGGAATTTTCCAAGCTGTCATGGACAGTATTTTTAAGGATATTCCAAATGTTTGTGTTTACTTTGACAATGTGTACATAACTGGTAAGAATGACACTGAACATCTTGAAACACTTGATAAAGTATTGAAAATTGTTGGTGAAAAAGGTTTAAAGATAAACAAAGATAAATGTCAATTCATGTTGACAGAAATTAGTTTTCTTGGTTATATATTGAGCAAACAAGGCATCAGACCTCAACCTGAGAAAACAAAAGCCATTAAAGAAGCACCCAAACCTGAAAATACCCAACAACTAAGAGCTTTTTTGGGCTTGATAAATTACTATGCAAAGTTCATAGGGAATCTGTCTGGTAAACTATCACCACTGTACAAGCTGCTACAGAAAAATGCAACTTGGCACTGGGGTAAACAACAAGAAGCTGCTTTTAATACAGCAAAAGAAGCTTTGTCTTCTGACACCTTACTAACTCACTATGACCCAGGGAAAAGACTTATATTAACATGTGATGCTTCACCAGATGGTGTAGGAGCAGTCTTGTCCCACATGGATGAGAAGGGTGACAGACCCATTGCTTTTGCCAGTAGATCTTTGAACCAGGCTGAGAAAAATTATTCTCAGTTAGATAGGGAAGGCTTAGGCATCATTTTTGGTGTTAAGAAATTTCATAAGTTTCTGTTTGGTAGGAAGTTCACCATCTTTACAGATCATAAACCATTGCTAGGTTTATTTGGAGAAAGCAAAACCCTACCTGAGCATGCCTCACCAAGAATTCAAAGATGGGCTATCACACTAACTGCATACAATTATGAATTGAAATACAAACCTAGATCTGAGAATAGTGCAGATAGCCTTAGTAGATTACCTTTAAAAAAACCAAAGCCTGAGCTATGTACCAGAAGATGTATTTGTTCTCTTCACTATCATGGATAACTCCAATATAAATGTGAATGATATTAAAAGAGAAACACAAAAAGATGAGTGCTTAATAAAAGTATATGAGTACTGTAAAAATGGTTGGCCTGAAGAGTCTGTGAATGATGACTTAAAGCCATATAAAATAAGAAAAACAGAGTTAAGTCTAGAAGATGGATGTATACTATGGGGGTCAAGAGTAATTATCCCCAAAATATTACAAAAAGAACTTTTAAGAACTTTACATGATACTCATCTTGGTTCTTCCAAAATGAAGAGTCTAGCAAGATCATGGTTCTGGTGGCCACATATGGATGCTGATATTGAAAAATATGTAAAGCTTTGTTCAAGCTGTGCACAACATTCAAATCAACCAGCTACAGCACCTTTGCAAAACTGGGACTGGCCAATCGAGCCATGGAAACGTATACATATAGATTTCGCAGGACCTTTCATGAACAAAATGTTCTTAATTGTTATTGATTCACATTCTAAATGGTTAGAAGTTAAAATCATGAACACAATCACTGCAAATGATACCATTATAGAACTTAAGGAAATATTTTCAACTCATGGATTACCAGATCAAATTGTTTCAGATAATGGGCCTAGTTTCACAGCTCATGAGTTTAAACTGTTTTGTGTGGCAAATGGTATTGAGCATATAACCACATCCCCCTATCATCCTGCTGGGAATGGTTTAGCTGAAAGAGCGGTAGGCATATTCAAAACCGCTATGGTAAAAATGAATACTGGTAACAAGTTTTCTCTTAGAGAAAGAGTAAACAGGTTCTTAACCAAATACCGCACAACTCCTCATATAACAACAGGTGTTGCACCATGTGAATTGATATGTGGTAGGAAAATTAAAACTCATCTTGACCTACTACATCCAACTGTTCAAAGGTCTGTTTCCCAACATCAACATACACAAAAAGTAAATCATGACAAATCATCCATTGAAAGAGAATTTGCAGTTAATGATAATGTGTATCTAAGAAATTATGGGAGAAGGGAAAAATGGATACCAGGTCAAATTGTTAAATGTACAGGACCTGTGTCTTATAAAGTAAAAACAAATGATGGACTTATTGTCCGTAGACATGCAGACCAGTTAAAAATAACTTGTGCAGATAATAAGTGTGAATCTGTCAATCCCACCAAATCTGAACAGTTCACACCAACTCAGTTTGTTCCACAACCAAGTTCTGTTGATATGAGTGAACCAAGTAGTCTGGAGTCAGAAAATGTAAATTCTGGAGTTAATGATTTAAATCCTAGACCTCCTGAGATAGAGAATCCAAATGGTCAGAATCTTGAGTCACCAAATCAAAAGCCACTGAGAAGGCCAAGCAGGACAATCAAAGTCCCAGATAGTTAGACCTATGATTTTAAAGGTCAAAAGGACTTTGACATCATTGTTTTGTATCTTGATTATGTTGTAGCATATTGTGCATTGTTTGTAAGGATGTAATCTACCATAGTGTTCATGTTACAATATAATTGGTGATTTTAGGATACTATCAATTGTTCTATTGAGAGATGTGTTATTGTGTTCTAAGGGTAAAGGGATGTAATAGATTGAGATAATTGTGAGGTCAAGGGAACTCACTCTTCTGTATTAGTATTATATTTATATTGTTATCTTGAGTGATGTCCCTTACATGTTTTTATGTATATAAGTGTCTCGTCACTTCCGCTCTCTCTCTCTCTCCTCCTGGTGTGAATAAACTACTGTTAACAACCAATGTGGCTCCTCGTCAGTGATTCCAATCTATCACATAAACAAAGATTTAGATCTATATAAAATAATTAAGATCTAAAATAGTTTAGTATAGAAACTCTTATCTAGATTCTACGGCTGGTTTGGTTAAGTTTTAAGTTTTAAATCGAGTTTTCTCGTAGATCTAGAACCTAGAATCCTAAATAGATAAATCACTTAGATTAGATGATCCGTGAAGCTAAAAAGCAAAGATTTATATTAAATATTTAAGGACTAAAATAGTTTAATAAAGAAACTCAATAATGTATTCTGATTTTAAAATGCTTTTTAATTTTAATTAATTAATTTTGGTTTGACCTGGATTCTAGATCTATAAATAACTCCATTCGACAGCTGATATTTAGATTCTAGATCTAGATGACTGTTGAAAATTTATATTAGTGTTGGAATGTTATAAAAAATAGCAAACGGACGTATCCTTAAAACTATAGCCGACAGAAAATTAGCTATATAATGCGTTATACTTCTGAATAGAGGCAACAAAATCTTCGATGGAAGCCACCATTGTTGTTGTAAAAAGTAAATAAATCATGTGACGTCACTATTCACTATAAGTAAAGTCATTGTTCTTAACTTTTATAATTAATGTGGTTAATCTACCAATGAATAAATCAATAAATTAATTAACCTCTTTAAATAAATTTGTGATTAACTGTCTGTTTAAAAAAGAAAATTGTTCTCTACCTAAATACTATTTTACAGCTCTACACATAGTGCAGATTCTCTCCTGTGACTAAACGAACAAACAAAAAAAAACAAATAAATATTCAAACATGTAAACAAACTTGAGTTTTTGTAGTTTACTAGGCATGCTGCCCAGCTTAGCTTAGGCTTTTGAAAACATTGAGAATTTGAATGCTTAATTAATTCGCCCATATAAGGCGCCGGTCAGTCGAGGTCAGTTTTGACCCCCTCATCGTAGACTTTTCGGCCAACCGGCCCCCGTGTTCTGTCGACCCAAGGCAAGATCCTGAAAAATTTGAAGCGCCTGCGGCGCCAGGTGGTGCCCTATCGGGCACCCGACAACTTAGCTTTATATATTATAGAGATTAGCAAATTGCATAGATAAACAAAGATTTTAATAAAGTAATTAAGGCCTGAAATACTTTAGTATAGAAATGTATTATTTGAATAGATTCTAGATCTAGGTATGGTCTACATCTGTGTAAGTCTAGTTTTTCCGTAGATCGAGATCATATAGATCTAGAATATCTAGATCTATATGATATAGAATCTCTAGATCTAAATGATCTAGAATCTCTAGATCTAGATGATTTTTTATTTTTCTTCTTTAAATAAAATTGTGGTTATACATTTATAACATCTAACATATTGTTTTCAACAAAAGTCCGTATAAAGGTATCCATATATCGCTGCCGATTCTGACGTGATGTTCGGCGAAAATATTTTGCGGACAGACAGAGAGAGAGAGAGAGAGAGAGAGAGAGAGAGAGAGAGAGAGAAGAGCGCACATGGCCTTTTATATATTAGGATAGATTACATAAAAGCTTGTTATTAAAACGTTTTTTTTTTATGAAATTGTTTTTTTAGTACCTTACATGTTTTTATTTACAATAGAGTTACATGACTAAAAGCCATTGCGCACCTACTGAACGTGATGACGCGCTATTGAACGTGTGGAGTAGTTGGATATGACTGCCTACTTAGTTGTTCATATTTTTAATTAATTCATAAAAAATTAGTCAGGCGACCAATTAAGTCAAATTGAATGTCATGTTGCATTGTCTTCATGTCTTGACCAAGGTACCAATTACGAACCGTATCTGTCAGGAAGAAGTGCCTGCAATTTCGCTCGGGCGTTTTGATCTAGACAGACTGACTGACGACATACTGACGACAGATTGACGACAGACAAAGAATTGAGTTAATTAAATATTAAAAGTTTGTAATAATAATAATAAAAACAAAAACAGTAGAATTTTTTCTTTCTTTATAAAAGATTTTATTTCATTTATGCAGCAGTGTTATGATTAAAATGCGGGTGGGGTTGGGTGGTTGCCAGCGTGCTCATCAGCGCGTTTGACTGGTGGGGTTGGGTGATTGCCAGCGTGCTCATCAGCGCGTTTGACTGGTGGGGTTGGGTGGTTGCCAGCGTGCTCATCAGCGCGTTTCACTGGTGGGGTTGGGTGGTTGCCAGCGTGCTCATCAGCGCGTTTGACTGGTGGGGTTGGGTGGTTGCCAGCGTGCTCATCAGCGCGTTTGACTGGTGGGGTTGGGTGGTTGCCAGCGTGCTCATCAGCGCGTTTGACTGGTGGGGTTGGGTGGTTGCCAGCGTGCTCATCAGCGCGTTTGACTGGTGGGGTTGGGTGGTTGCCAGCGTGCTCATCAGCGCGTTTGACTGGTGGGGTTGGGTGGTTGCCAGCGTGCTCATCAGCGCGTTTGACTGGTGGGGTTGGGTGGTTGCCAGCGTGCTCATCAGCGCGTTTGACTGGTGGGGTTGGATGGTTGCCAGCGTGCTCATCAGCGCGTTTGACTGGTGGGGTTGGGTGGTTGCCAGCGTGCTCATCAGCGCGTTTCACTGGTGGGGTTGGGTGGTTGCCGGCGTGCTCATCAGCGCGTTTGACTGGTGGGGTTGGATGGTTGCCAGCGTGCTCATCAGCGCGTTTCACTGGTGGGGTTGGATGGTTGCCAGCGTGCTCATCAGCGCGTTTGACTGGTGGGGTTGGGTGGTTGCCAGCGTGCTCATCAGCGCGTTTGACTGGTGGGGTTGGGTGGTTGCCAGCGTGCTCATCAGCGCGTTTGACTGGTGGGGTTGGGTGGTTGCCAGCGTGCTCATCAGCGCGTTTCACTGGTGGGGTTGGGTGGTTGCCAGCGTGCTCATCAGCGCGTTTCACTGGTGGGGTTGGGTGGTTGCCGGCGTGCTCATCAGCGCGTTTGACTGGTGGGGTTGGGTGGTTGCCAGCGTGCTCATCAGCGCGTTTGACTGGTGGGGTTGGATGGTTGCCAGCGTGCTCATCAGCGCGTTTCACTGGTGGGGTTGGATGGTTGCCAGCGTGCTCATCAGCGCGTTTGACTGGTGGGGTTGGGTGGTTGCCAGCGTGCTCATCAGCGCGTTTCACTGGTGGGGTTGGGTGGTTGCCAGCGTGCTCATCAGCGCGTTTGACTGGTGGGGTTGGGTGGTTGCCAGCGTGCTCATCAGCGCGTTTGACTGGTGGGGTTGGGTGGTTGCCAGCGTGCTCATCAGCGCGTTTGACTGGTGGGGTTGGATGGTTGCCAGCGTGCTCATCAGCGCGTTTCACTGGTGGGGTTGGATGGTTGCCAGCGTGCTCATCAGCGCGTTTGACTGGTGGGGTTGGGTGGTTGCCAGCGTGCTCATCAGCGCGTTTGACTGGTGGGGTTGGGTGGTTGCCAGCGTGCTCATCAGCGCGTTTGACTGGTGGGGTTGGGTGGTTGCCAGCGTGCTCATCAGCGCGTTTCACTGGTGGGGTTGGGTGGTTGCCAGCGTGCTCATCAGCGCGTTTCACTGGTGGGGTTGGGTGGTTGCCAGCGTGCTCATCAACGCGTTTGACTGGTGGGGTTGGGTGGTTGCCAGCGTGCTCATCAGCGCGTTTCACTGGTGGGGTTGGGTGGTTGCCAGCGTGCTCATCAGCGCGTTTGACTGGTGGGGTTGGGTGGTTGCCAGCGTGCTCATCAGCGCGTTTCACTGGTGGGGTTGGATGGTTGCCAGCGTGCTCATCAGCGCGTTTGACTGGTGGGGTTGGGTGGTTGCCAGCGTGCTCATCAGCGCGTTTGACTGGTGGGGTTGGATGGTTGCCAGCGTGCTCATCAGCGCGTTTCACTGGTGGGGTTGGGTGGTTGCCAGCGTGCTCATCAGCGCGTTTGACTGGTGGGGTTGGGTGGTTGCCAGCGTGCTCATCAGCCCGAAATATGGAAGCTGAGTTGACAACTGCGTGGAATATAGCGTTACAATTTATTATACTTAAATGGCTTTGATCAGACTAATGTACTACATTCTCAGTTCTTTATTTAGTTGTTGTTTGTTTTTTTATAATTCAAATTGACCGTTTCACTTTTCTTAAAAAAAAAAGAGTTAGAAAAAACAAACTTCGCATTAATGTAGATTTTTTTTTTTTTTTTGCTTTCTTGCAAACATCCGCAGTTTAATTTTTTTTTTTAAACTGTAACCTAATAAACTTTATGTATTTGTGTAAATTAAGTTTTATTGGCCAAATATAATTTTCCGCCTTTAACGAATTTTCCTACCGTAAATAGTTTTTTTTTCCTATTTTTATTCAAACGCGAGTCAAAAAAATCCCCCCCCCCCCCATTTATAAGCAAGACGTGAAAAATTAGCTACATATTTAAAATAAAACATGATTAAACTTAAAATGGATAAAGTAATGATATATAAATACCTTGTATGGCAAGTATGCCGATGGCGACGGCGAAAAAGAACCTCATGGTTGCTCAGTAAATGTATGTGTTTAGCTTTTCCCACTTCAGCTGCGTGATGTTTTGTGTTAGATCGGGCTCTTCGAAAGTCTTGATCTCCAAGGCATGTTGCCTTCCTTAAATAGCTCTTCTGTAAATTAAAAAGAAAAAAAATCGTGTACAACAGAGGGGTTTAGATTTTAATAATTTAAAAAAGTTGACGACACGCTGAAAATTATTACAGAGATAAGTTGTTTTTTTTTTTAATGTAGGTCACTGTCCCAAATTGGTAATCACGAAGTCACACTTTCTGACATCGTGCCTGTTTCGTTTCATTCTTTTAATTTTAAGTTATTGTTTTTAAAACAAACGTACTGATTATTGTTAAAATTTAAACGATTTGACCTCAGTTTTATCTCAAGAACCAAGTGACTAATTATTTCGGTTGTTTTCGGTAATTACGCTTTTTACAAGCTGTTATTTAACTCACTTCCTCTGTCTATCGTCAGTCTGTCTAGATCGAAACGGCCGAGCGAAATTGCAGGCACTTCTAACTGACAGATACGGTTCGTAATTGGTACGTGGATCAAGACATAAAGACAATGCATCGTGACATTAAATTTGACTTATTTCGTGTTTCCATTTACACGGAGCAATTACTTTTTCAGTTGATTCTTTTCTATAAAACAAGACATTTTATCATTTCGTTTCTCAACTCTTGATAATTTTGAACGTTTTTAAAATAATTTAATAATCTTTCCAATGGTTTTCTTTTTGAAATTGTTTTAATAACGTTTGGGATAATGAGAAAACTTCATAGAGTTAAGACTAAATTAGTTTTTTTTATAAGCACGGTAAGCAGAACACAGTAAAGAAATTATCTTTCCTTGACTAGTTTGGTTTTTTGTAAATAAAAATTATGAGCAATTTGTTTAATCATATATCACTTTAAAATCGCAAATTGAACATGTAGGCCTATAGGTAGTATGCTGCATTAAAAACGTTCGATTTTAATCAATTGGCTAACTTAAACATGTATTGGCCATAATTATTACTGATTTAATACACATAGTCTAGCAAATACAATTGTCAGCATTACATAGGACGATAGTATTTAGGTTGTTTGCATTTAATTAAAATAATACAGTGATAAATATTTCCTATTTTAAATTATGATATAATTTACAAGTTTAAATCAACTAATAAGACGAAATCTACCAAAATTAGTTTATTGGTTAGGTTTGTAGCCAAAATGCGTAGGGGATTTCATGAACTACCAAAGCAAATTTGTTTAATGTTCTTACTAGCGTGCCCGTCGCCGCGTGTTGCCGCGGTCCAAGAAAAAAAGGCTGACGAAATATATTAAGAGGGTCTCATCAATTATGTTACCAATCATATATTCTTACTCGCGTGACCTTGTTTCCAAAAACTGCTTTATTTAAATGTACACGTATTTGTTTTATTTTCTCATTTTCAATGCATTTTAAAAATAATTTTTATAAAGATTTTTTAATGGGGTAGGCTGCCGAAAAAAAAAACAAATTCTTAACTAATAAGCTTTACTTATTTATTTGTGTGTACCTACGCTAGGGTACTTAAAATAAAATATCTGCATGCATCAGGGAATCTGCTGAAAGTATGGTTGCCATGGCGACGGCAGCCGTCTTGAAAAAAAAAAACCTTTTGTGGAGGTACCAAGTTTAAAATCACACATATACATTGATCAAATAATCATTGATCCTTTTTTTACTAACTCCAATAGAGTTAACTGCTATGTATTTTGTAGCAGAAAACAATCTAAAATATATTTTTTTCAAAATTTCAAAATTTTGTATGTTGAAATACCATTAAAACTAATGCTAAATTTACTGGTATTTCACTAAAGAAAATTTGGAAAATTCGAAAAAAATAATCTCGAGTGTTTTTTGTTACAAAAACTAGCCAGCTATATTTTGGGGACACTCCGCATCTTTCTCTGAACGTGCTAAAGTAAATTTGGAAGGGATGGGGGATAGAGTTGTATGCAGTGTGGGGTGGGGCAGCTATGAAGCTGTTCTTGATTGTAAAAAAGTCTCTATCAAGCTCAGCCGCTAATTAGGACGAATGACGTCAAGCTATTTTTATCCGTAGCCCTTGAGGGTGGGTGATTAGTCAGCCATCATGTAAATAATGAATAGTTTGGTGTAGAGAGTAAGATGATCATCATCGTCATATGTAATCATCATTATCATCATCATTATCATAATCATCGTGGTCATTATTATTATCATCATTATCAATAACATTAAGAACACCTTTTCTTTTGGTCTTTCTTGAAGAGCATTAAGCCTCTTACTAAACTCTCCATTTTATATTCTCCTGTCGCTCTTTTTAATTTTTCCTTAATCATTTCCGCACTAATTGAACCAATTACTATAAACACATATTTAACCCTTATTGACGTTTATTGTTTAAATCGAAAAGCAGCAAAAAAAAATTGTAATCGTTTCACTATACCTAATTTGTAGACAAACTGTATGTGTAAATTGAATTGTAAATCAAACTGTGCCGTGTAATTTGATATCGTTTTGATATAGCAAGCCCATATTCACGGTTGTGATTTAAATAATAGGCAGCAAATCAGTTTTTTAAATCACTTCTCTCTCAATTTTGTAGACGTTCTGTGCATATTTCGATTCTACGATCATGTCCACAGTTTAAACATCTATTTTTTTTTACATTTATTCCATTTTGATGTTTATTATTTAAAAGAAAAACATAAACATAATTTTATCGTATTTTTACAGAAAAAAAACCGTAACTAGACCGCCATCGTGTTGTCTATTTTTAGACTACCAGAACCATGTTTTCATTTGGTCACGCGGACTCTATCGTATGGTCACGTGTGTTCTGTTTATCTTTAAACTCGGTTATATAACGCACTATGACGTCATACTGCAAGGGGTAGGTGTTCATTTGCGTTAGATCACCCCACCCGTAGTTGCCAAATTGAAATGAATTTTTTTTTAAAAGATATATTTAAACTGACGGTTAAACTAGAATTTTAATTTAAGTTGTTAGTTTGTATATTGTTTTCTTTTTTTTTGTAGTTGTTATTGTTGTTGTTGCTTTTTTCCCACATCGATATCTTTTATTTTTTTTAAAACATTAAAATAATAACGTAACAAATAAACAAAGTAAGTAGCCTCCAGTCTCCAATGCTAAATAATTCTAAGGACTCCTCAATCTGTACCTTTCAGTTATTAATATACGAGAAATGTCTTAAACTGAAGTTTCAGCCTTTTTCTTCAAGTGTTGTGTAGGGCGTATGTTTGTATAAAAAAGATGATACAGTGAAACCACAAGCAGGACAGGATGAAAGTAAATCTAGGATAGGATGAAAGTAGATCATGGGTAGGACAGTGGCGGAACTAGAAAAAAAAGGGCCACCCCACCAAATATGGTTGGGCCCCGTATATATATATATATATATATATATATATATATATATATATATATATATATATATATATATATATATATATATATATATATATATATATGTATGTATATATATATATATACATATATATATATATATATATATATATATATATATATATATATATATATATATATATATATATATATGTATGTATATAAAGAAGCTAAAGTCGTCTTAATATCTAGCGGCCTCTCGCGCAAATGGACTTGGATTTTTTTTTTTTCAAAATAATTTTGCCGACAACAGCTTTTGTTTGATAGTAGGAGAAAGAGGACTCGGCTTTCAAAGTGGTTTAAAAACAAAGTGAAAAAGCATATACAAGAGCGTGGGGTGGTGTCTATAGAATAAAGATAATCCAGCTGCAGCTAAGGCAATCTTTTTACAAACCAACCATCAAGTCCAAAATGCAAGAAATTTATTTTTTAATTTAACTATCAAAATTTATTATGGTTGGCTTTGGGCCCCTAAATGGCGTGCCCCCCACCCCCCACATTTCGGGGTCTTGCGGAACTGTAGTTCCACCACTGGGATAGGATAATGTAGATCAAAGATATGACAACAGTAGATCTATGATAGGATGAAAGTAGAACTATGATAGGATGATGGTAGATCTAGGAGATGATGAAACTAGATCTAGGATATCCTAAAAGTAGAACTATGATCATTAAGATAAAAGTAGATCTGTAATCGAGGATATAAAAGTACATCTAAAATATGATGACAGTACATCTAGGATAGGATGGAAGTCGAACTAGGATAGAATGAAAGTAGATCTAGGAGATGATTAAACTAGAGTTAGGATATTCTGAAAGCAGAACTAGGATATGCTGAAACTAGATCTAGGATATGATGAAAGTAGAACTAGGAAATGCTGAAACTAGATCTAGGATATGATCAGTAGCGTAGCCAGGATCGTCTCATGGCGGGGGAAGGGGGTTCAAATTTTTACCCGGGGACAAACTTTCGATTTGCACCCCCCCCCCCCTCAAACTTTCGATTTAGACCCCCCCTCAAACTTTCGATTTTCACCCCCCCCCCCTCAAACTTTCGATTTACACCCCCCCCCCCCCCTCAAACTTTCGATTTACACCACCCTCATACTTTATATATATATATATATATATATATATATATATATATATATATATATATATATATATATATATATATATATATATATATATATATATATATATATATATATATATATATATATACCGAGGGGTCTATGGAGGGGTTATGACCCCCCTAACCCCCCCTGCCTACGCCACTGGATATGTTGAAACTAGATCTAGTATGTGTGGAACATAGAACTAGGATATGCTGAACGTAGATCTAGGATATAATGAAACTAGATCTAGGATATGTTGAAAGTAGAACTAGGATATGCTGAACGTATATTTTACTATGATGAAACAGAACCAGCTGATAAGGTGCACGCTTTAAGTAAGTGCTGACCTATAAGGTGCTGGTGTATGGAATCATGAAAAAGTGAGGATGTGGTTCGAGTTGTGTCATGGACTTCCTAATTACCTGATTGTTCTAGACACAAAGATTTTTTTGTGTGTGTTGTGTTGGAGATAAGGTTTAGATTTGGGTGATTTCTTGACACTGTTTACTTGCTATTGTGGTGATGAGAAAGGAAGATACACATTATTACGTTAAATTGCGTTTTTACTTTCTCGTATATACGAA